ACGCTCCTGCATGGGCTAGTATTACTAGTAGTAGTTGTAGCAGTACAATGGACTGCTCGTGCAACGGCACTACTACTACTTCTCTTACAGCAGCAGTACAGTGTGTCGCTAGTAACGTGACCTTTTCACACAACCCTGCATAGACTACCTTGTACGGGTATATTATGCCTACGACCGTTCCTGATGCTGCAGTTGTACCTGAAATACAACTTGATTTTGTGCATGTACTAATAGTAGTACTAGAAGTAGTCCTTTCCACGACAAGCAGTTTCTAACCAAGCCAAACCAACATAGGTATTTACAATCAAGGGGACGCCGGCGTATGTATGTGTGGACGTATTCAACCACAGCACAAACCAATTGATTGGCAGCTGTACGCTGAGCCGGTCCCAGTTTGCACCAGATGGGGGGCGTACGGAAGGCCAAGTGGCGGCTGCCATCTTGTCGAGCCAAGAAGGTTGCTGTCATGCTGTGGTGGGCGAAGCGGTGTTTCAATACCTCCACGTGTTACCCCATTCCCATCCTGCCAACTTGATCCATCGATCCAAGCAGCAACAGCAGCAGCTGTCCCATGTACCAACCAAGGCATTGGATATTGGGCATCGAGGCCTTGGCCGGTCTTACTACCAAGTACGTTCTAGTAGTACTAGATAAAAGTCAGTTGGCACGAGTAGTGGATCGGGGGCGTCTGTCTTGTGTGTATGGAAAGAGAGATGGTTGACCCCATTCGATCTATGATTGTCCTTTGAGTAGCCAAAAGTTGGACGATTTGAGTACTAAGCCCATCAATCGATATATTTTGGTTGTACTGAATTTTTGGTACGGAAACATGATTGACCAGTGTTTCACACTAATATCAGGTTCAAAGTTGAATGGTTGAAGCGAGAATTTGATTGGCCACTTGAAGCGTGTTCTGGGTTTTGATTGGTCGATCGATTGTCGGTTTGGTGCTGCTCATTCGATTGAGCACCCAAACTCTCCAATTTCGAATCGACAATACCATTTCACAACAGACTAACACTCGTGGGCTCGTGGGACTGGTTGGTGTTAGAAACTTGGA